CCTGCCCTGGACACCCCCCCACCCCATCCCGGCCGTGACCCGGCCCCAGGCGGACAGGCCCCGCGCTGCCTCCGGGAGGACCTGGGTTGTCACAGGCCGGGGAGTGACCGCGGAGCTGGGGGAGAAGCCCCTGGAGAGGGGACGCCAGACCGTCCTGGCTCCTAGGGCCGAGCTTGACTCAAGGAACAGACAGGTGGTAGCCATGGCGGAGGGCTGGGCAGGCTGGAGGTGGGGCCTGGTCAGATTAAAAGCAAGTTTTTAGCCCTGACCCGTTTGGCTCAGTGGATAGAGCATCGGCCTGCGGACTGAGGGGGCCCAGGTTCGATTCCGGCCCAGGGCATGTGCCTTGGTTGTAAGCGCATCCCCAGTGGGGGGTGTGCAGGAGGCAGCTGATCGATGTTTCTCTCTCATCGATGTTTCTAACTCTCTATCCCTCTCCCATCCTCTCTGTAAAAAATCAATAAAATACATTAAAAAAAAAAAAGAAACATAAATGATGAGAGAGCCCCATTGATTGGCTGCCTCCTGCCCGCCCCCTACTGGGGATCCAGCCTGCAACCAGGGCATGTGCCCTGACCTCCTGGTTCAGAGGTTGACACTCGACCACTGAGCCACACGGGCCGGGCAGATCTCAGTTTTGTCCTCAGGGAGCTCTGCTGGACATGGTCGGTGTCATCAGGCCACCAGGTCAAGGCTGCCCTGTCCAGGTGGGATGACCGAGTGGTGAGAGGTGTGGGGCGGGGGCAGCAGCCAGAAGCGGTAGGATCACAGTGTGAGGGTGGGGCGGAGGGAAGGGCCTCCTGCCCAGGCCCGAGCCCTGGCCTCCCTCCGCCCTCAGTGTGAATCACTGCCACCCCTGAACGCGGAGCCCAGCCCTTCTCTCCGCGTCCACTGCCCCGTCCACTGGCCAGGTCACCCCTTTCCAGCCCCGGCCAGTCAGGGTGCACTTCTCCCTGAGGTCACAGTGAACTTCCTAAAATGCTCGTCAGTCTGTGGGGCGGGGTTCATGCTTTTTCTTTTTTTTTTAAATGTATATTTTTTATTGATTTTACAGAGGAAGGGAGAGGGACAGAGAATTAGAAACATCCATGAGAAACATCGACCAGCTGCTGCCTCCTGCACGCCCCCTACTAGGGATCAAGCCCGCAACCAAGGTACATGCCCTTGATCAGAACCGAACCTGGGACCCTTCAGTCCGCAGGCCGATGCTCTATCCACTGAGCCAAACTGGTTAGGGTGGGGTTCATGCTCTTCATAAACAAGTGGGGTGTAGCCTGTCGCGTGGAAGGAAAGCTGGAGGTTGCCGGTGGGCCCTCCCTGAAAACATCGTGACCCCTGAAGGCGGGCCTGCCCACCCCGTGCATCCAACACCGTTTCTACCCTTCACCACCCCCGGAAAGGACAGGCCTGGGACCCCTCTCCTCTCTCCAAGAGGGTAGTCCTACCCCATCTCCACGCTTCAGAGTGGAAGTGGGTGGGGCTCTCACTGACTTCCCCATCTTCTTCTTTTGTTGCAATTCCTCACCCGAGGATATTTCTCCACTGATTTTGAGAGAGTGGAAGGGAGAGGGAGAGACAGAGAAGCATCGATGTGAGAGACACATTGCTTGCTTGCCTCCTGCACGCACCTCAACATGGGCTAGGAACAGAGCCTGCAACCGAGGTACATGCTCTTGACCAGAATCGAACCCTCGACCCTTCAGTCCAAGGACTGATGCTCTATCCACCGAGCCACACCAGCTGGGACACTTTTCAGCATCTTGTCCAGGTTTCCTGACCAGCTGGTCTCTGGGAAGGGGACTCAGTGTGGGCCATGGCACTGTCACTTCAGGGTCCCTGGGCAGGGATGTCAGCTGTTAGCCTAGAACCCCTTCCTTGTGGGAGACACCCACCCTGTTCCAAGTGGCTTATGATCAAGGCCTCACCCACCGAGACTCGTCCCCCCCCCACCCCCGTGTGCCCCCCGTGGAGGAGACACAGGCTGGGGCTGCCTGCCACCAGCAGCCCTGCTACCCGAGGATAAACCAGCAGACGGGTGGAACCCAGACGTGTGAGCGCCTGGATCCAGCCGTACCTGAAGCTTGTGGAGCCACCAAACCCCCTTCCTGCTTGCGTGGGTGATATCTGTGGGGCAGAGCCCCTTGTGTCCAGGACAGTGCGTGTCGCATCAGGGGCCTGACACGCTGATGCTGCATCTGTGCACACAGCACACGCCTGTGCCTGATGCCTGCTGGTGGCACATCTCAGCTCTGCATCGGACATGGAGACTGGGAGCAACCCCCCCCCCCCCCCCCTTCCCAGACAACCCCTTCCTCCGCATCAGCCCCTGGCTCTTGGTTACAGTGTCCTTGAGCCCTGCGATGTCCCGAGTCACCCTGGGCCATTCACGGGGCAGAGGAGCTCCCCGAACGGCCCCACAGCCTCGAGGAGGAGGACGGAGGGGCCTCAATCCCAGAGCCACCCAGTGTCCAGTGGGGTCTGCACACAGCGGGGGATTACCAGATGGGCTCTGGGTAGACCATGCCTGGGAGGTACCCCCACCTCAGAAGGAGGAAGCAGGTCCCTGAGAGCTCAGGGTCCAGACAGCAGGCTGCCATCACACCTGCCTTCTCCCATGGCTCCCGGTGGCTCAGCCCAAGGGAGACGGGGGAACGTCATGGCCACCGGGGCTGCCTGGCCAGCCCAATGCCCCCCACACTTCCCTGCCTGGGGGGGGGGCCTGCCTCCTTGCACCCCTCTGGACCCTTAACCCACTCCAGGATCACCTAGGCCTGAGCTGCCCAGCCCCCCTCCATGCCAGAGGCCTCACCTCCCAGCCCTTGACCACCCTCTTCTCAGGGGTGGACTCAGTGCAGCCTCTGCACACGCCCCATGGGCCTGGCCCAGAGGAACCGGGAGGTGGGGCCTGAGGCCACACAGGCCCACTGGAGGGTGAGATCCTAGGGCTGGGGAGCAGGCTGTGAGCAGGACGGGGTGGGGCCGGGCCCTAGGAGCAGGGGCAGCAGCCCTGCAGCCCCAGGAGGAACCCAGCCAACCAGCAGAGTGAAAAAGACAGTTGTATTTGATTTACAATGAACAAGATTTACAAAAGGGGTGGGGGTGTCCTAGCCGAGCTCCTCCTGGCCCCCCACAGACCGGGCGGAGCCTCCAGGACAGCCTGTCTGACAGGCCGAGGCCAGGACCCGTCTGCTGGGTCCCCTCTGGCTGCCTGGGCCTCGACGTCTGACATCCAGCTTGACCTTTGAGGTGAGGCCCGGGGCGCAGAGTCCACCCAGAGTGCTGGAGCCCCACGGCCCGGGCCAGGCGAGGTCAGGAAGGCATCGTACCGCTTTTCTCCTCCCATCCGGGCGGGCAGACAGTCTGGGCTCGGGGCCCTGGGGACTGCAGGCACTCAGACCCCCCCAAAGAGGCCAGACCCTCACCGGGCGGCTGCTGGTGCTCAGGAAGGGGGGCTGAGGCCCGGCTGCCCCTAGCGACATGGGGTGGCGCCGGGGGCGAAAGGCACATTTGCGAATAGCTCAGGAGACTCCACGCGGAGACAACGCCCGATGCTGGTGTTCCGGGAGGGGCTGGTGCTGGAGGGCGCCAGGCACTATTGCTCAGGAGAAAGACGCTATGTGGCTACCAACACGGAGGTGGGGTCCCCGCCGCACCCACTCTCGCACACCCCGGGGGCGGGGGGCGCTTCCTCCGCC